TGAGAATGATGAGGGCAATGAATTTACAAATGTGCTTTACACAATTGATGTATGTATGGATTGTGGTAAGAGTTGTATGAGCCCCTAATAAAATGATTTTTTTAAAAAGAGAACCTCTTTGGGGGCAAGACCGGGCCGAAAGTAGGAACCTGATAAAGTTCTGACTGAATAAGTGAACGAGTGAATGGTAGGCCCAACTTATATCTAATTCTCTAAAGGTAGGTTGAGACTAACAGCAAAGCAAGTGCTTTACGATTCAGGCACCAGACACGACAGTTAAAGCAATATATTCAAGGAGGCACAATAAGAGGAATATAGCACAATTATGTCTGAAAACCCCAGTGGAGTCCCTGGCTTTCTTTTGCTGTGGTCCCACAAACCAGCGCTCCTCTAGATTCCTCTCCTTGGCGGGAATCCTGTTAGCGACAGGACGTCAATTTAATAAATCCCAAATGTGTTTCTCCAGGAAATCACAGAGAAATCTCAAAAGCACTAAGCATGCTTATTCTGATATTTTAAAAAACCTAAATATAGCATTATCTACTCTATGAAATGCACCCCAAAGCAGCTGTGCAGCCAGTGGGTGTTGGAGGGGCAGCTCTAATTAGCTTCCATGCATTAGGACGTAGCGCTGCTCCTCAGCTGGTCAAAAGCAGCTCCGGCTTATCACCTTAGGGATGGGCTAGTAAAGTTCCTTTCGTGCCTAAACGTTGACTGGAGGAGGGTGTCTACAGGGACAGCCCGGCTTGCTTGGAATGGAATAGCAATTCATGGTATCGATACAGAAGCCATCTTGACTTCATTTTGCGGTGCTAGTCCGGTTCAAAGGAGCCCAAGGGGGGCGCGGGGTACGTGGTCAGCCACTCACCGAATGATTGGTAGGTGGAACCCACCCCGTAGCTTCTTGGGAGAAAGACCTGGTGATCTGCTTCGCTAAAGGTCAGTGTCAAGAAACCCTATGGAGATGGTTCTCCACTGTCCTATGGAATCACTAGAGAGGCAGTCAATGTCAACGGCACCCAAGAACAACACTCTAGCCTTGTCGTTAGCATTCTATGCGTAATAGAATGAGCTACTGCCTAGTCCTGCCCTCCTTCACAACCGTTGCTCTGTGTGAGCCTAGGGTTGTAGCTGCTGTGTCAATCCATCTCACGGAGCATCTTCCTCTTCTGTGCTGGCCCTCGACTTTACCAAGCATGATGTCCTTTCTCCAAGGTCTGGTCTCCCTTGATAATCTTTCCAAAGTAGGTGGGACAAAGTCTTACCACTGTCGCTTCTAAGGAGCAGTCTGGCTGCACTTCTTCTAAGACTGGTTCTTCTGGCAGTCCACATTCTTCACCAACACTAATTCCCAGGCATTGATTCTTCATTGGTCTTCCTTTTTTAATGTCCAACTTTCGCATGTATATGAGGTGACTGAAAATACTTGGGTCAAGCACATCTTTGCCTTCAAAGTGGTGTCTTTGCTTTGTCACCACCTTACAGAGGTCTTCTGGAGCAGTTTTGCCCAATGCAGCACACTATTTAATTTCACGACTGTTGCCTCCGTGGCCGCAGCTCTGGGATTCTGTTTACCATGATTTTTCAATATAAGGAATGCCCAGCCAGAACCCATTTAACAATCCTCACTGAAGCCAGCATTAAAGAGAAACAAGGGCTCCAATCGGATGTAAGGGTTTAGAAAAGAGGTACAAGTAGGCTTGATACAATTCATATATGGATTGTTATGAGAACTGTAAGAACCCCCAATAAAATGATCTTTAAAATAAAAATGAACTGTGCTGAAGAAAAAAAAGAGAGAAGAGAATCAAACTGATGCACAGGAAAGGTGCATTTTAATTGCTATAACTAAGACTTTAACTATTTGGTAAAACTACGAAGAGATTGGAAAAGAATGAGTGATGGAGTGATTAAAGTTATTTATCATAGAAAAGACAACCAGGATCCAGAGAGTGGGTTTAGCATCCTCCAGCTAGGAGGAGCCCTGGATCAGACCCTAACAACGAATCCCAGGCTCCCTCCACCCCACTGAGCCGGGAGCGGAGGCAGGTCATCTTCTCAGCTTCTGGACACTGGGCAGTGGCGCTGCTGTATACAGCAGCAGGACAGGCCAACCCCAGACCCGCTGCACTGTGGTCACTGACAGTTGATACTCAGAAGAACCACAATGGAGTATCTTTGCGGAGGGCATTTGCCAAGACAGAGGGTTGATCAAATCGCTCTATTTGGAGAATTATTAATTAAACTCAGAGCCAAGGTGATTCGTCAGCAGGCTTACCTAGTTCTGGGGGCAGAACGGTCAGGCGGTTGCCCTGAATGTGCAGCTCCTTAAGCTGAGTAAGCTCCCCAGTTTCCTTGGGCAGTGAGATCAGGTCGTTATCCCTGAGGCTGAGCTAAAGATAAGAAAACAAGGAGTTGTCAAAAGAGTTTTCACACAAAGGGCCCCTCAGCACAACCCCTTTCCTCTCCCGTACCCTCTCTCCTTTTAAGACCCAATCCTTTCCATGTATTTACAAGTGTCGGCGGATCAACAAGAAACCGTATCGGGAGTAGTGGTTTATTCCTGCAAAATAAACCTTACTCCTTCCCAAATTGACTTGATTCTACTCCTACAAAGGCTGCGAGAGTGAATTGATTTTCTAAGAATTTAGATAAATTACTTACTATCTGCAACTTTGTGAGCTTCCCAATATCTGGCGGCAGGATTTCAAAATCGTTGTCACTTAGATAGAGTGCACGCAGGGTGGCTGCAAATTAAACAGCAATATATAAACAAGGTGGCACGGAACCCAACCGTTTGAGGTCTGATCAATACAAGGGAGTCAGCTTTGATTAATGACCCTGCCTTGGTGAAAAGCCGGTGACAGACCTCGGGCTCACAATCATAACAAGCAGGTCAAGCTCAGATTTACTGGCTTCTTGTATGGCTGGGGTGTTCAGGAAAACATCTATATCCAAGGGGATTGACACAATTAACAACTGTGGCACCAGAGGTCGTTGGCACAGAGTTTCCATACATTTTCAGCAAAGACAGTTATTTTTCTCTATTACTTCCGATCCCCATTTATTCCTCCATTTGCATCCAGAGTAAAACAAAGAAAGGCACTGTGTCACTTATATCAATACACAGAGCAAAAGGGCTCTTTCATGTAAATAAAACTATCCTGAAAAAAAGAAAGAAAGTCTTTCAAGAGAGAGAGCCAGGCCAGCTCACCATGTCCATATCAGGCTGCTTGCCATTACTGGCTTTCACAGCCTCAAGACAAAAGGAAAGAGAAGATAAAGGGCCTACAACAAGGATGCCCAGTTGAGTTTAAACAGGGAAGCATAACTGGGCCCTACAGGACCTCTGTAGCACCACCCTAAAAGGAAGAACATAACAAATGTTTTCGACATCGTTTGTTTAATTGCAGGGCAATGTTTTTTAATCCAGCTGAACTATATGTTAATATATGTAACTAGAACAAGTTCTAAAACCCCAAACCAGGATACCTGGCACAAGAAAATATTTTAGAGCTGGTTTCAGGTGCTTGAGAAAAGTCTGGGAGAGACAATATGCATTAAGAAGGAGGAGGCTAAAAAAAATTCAAAGTCTAGTTCAGAAAACGCAGAATTTCTGGATATTACATATGTCCCTATTTTGAAGTAATAGGAAACTCCCATAAGGGATGCTAAACTTTCTTCACTCTTTCTGGTATGAGTCCCCAAAGGTTTTTTATCTAATTTTTGAGAGTATCTTCAGGAACAACTTGGTTTTCAGGTGAAAGGATAAAGGGTACTCATTTTTAATGAACAAATACTTAATGTATGGTTGCATATGGGTCAAAATAAACTAACTCAGTAAAGGGTCTTTTTAAAGACATAAAACGAGAATCCTGGCTGAAAAATTCTAAAACTAAGTTACTAGTTTATTAATGGACCTTTATAAATAATTGATTGGAATATGTTTGGCAAACGTCTTACACAAAGATAATGGCAATATGGGAAGAAGCAAGAGGCCTGGGGGGGGCACCGCTTTAAAAGAAAGTCAAGTTTCTGGGCTAAACTTGAGACTGGGTCTCATCTATGTCCATGATCTCTATTAGAAAGTTAATATGGCATTACTAAGTCCACTTCATCCCAATGGTGTCAGATGGCTATATATCAAATATACATACTGCTGAGCTATGCAGGAATATTACAAGAGAATCTATAAAGAAAAAAATATATATGTCTAATAATTCCACTTAGCGTTTGGGTCCGGGCAAATAAATTTTACCTTGAGAACACAAGGTACCATTCTAAGGAGATTTATGGAATTAAAAGTTTCTTACTAAGGTAGAAGAAGTTTCCTGGAAGAGAATTTTCATTCAAGTTGTTGTAAGTCAAGTCAAGGACCTCAAGAGCTGGTAGAGAGCCAAATCCTCGAGGCAAAGTGTTCAGCCTGTTCATGCTGTAGTTGAGAAGAAGAAACTCTTAAGACGTCACACACAAAGTAGACACACACCCACTTAAATCCCAGTACATCCATACCTTATTTTATTGTGCTTTGCTTTATTGTGATTCACAGACCGTGTTTTTTACAAATTTTCGACAACCCTGCATCGAGCAAGTCTGTCAGTGCTGTTTTTAGCCAACAGCATGTGTCTGAGTGTCATATTTTGGTACTTCACACAATACTTCAAATCTTTTCAAATTTCAAACGTTTTGCCTTGGTGGTGCTGTCGGGTAAGCAATGGACTGCTAACTGCAAGGTTGTTGGTTCAAACTCACCAGTCATTCTGCAGGACAAAGTTGAGGCTTTCTGTTCTTATGAAGATTCACAAAGTCTTGGAATCCTTATATAGGGCTGCTATGAGTTGGAAGTGAGTTTTAGAGTATCATGAATAGATTACAGTATAGTATAAATATACCTTTTTATATGCTCTGGGAAGTCAAATATTTGTGCAGCTTGCTTTATTGAAACATGCCCTTGACCACAGTGGTCCAGACCCAGATCTACACTCTCTCCAAGGAATGCCTGTTCGCAATACTTAACCTGGCTCTGTATTGCAGGGTGAATCATCATGCACGAAAGACCGAAAGCTCAAAGGGGTATTGATGTTCTATAATCACCTTCTGCTATTTAATCAGCTTAGTAATTTTAATTTTGGTAGAGAACGTGCATGTTGATGAAACATCAGAAAATTTCCTAGTGGTAATTTATTCCAAAGGTGAAGCTTTTCACAAAGAAACATAAATCATTACAAAATGTCCTCTATGATAGGAATATGTCTATCTGCATATAAGGAAACACCATCAATACAACCAATATTAAAATTTATGCACCAACCACAAAAGCTAGTGATAAAACAATTGAAGAATTCTATCAATGTCTTCAGTCCTAAATTAACCAAACATGCAATCAAGATGCATTGATAATTATTGACAATTGGAATACAAAACTTGGAAACAAAGAAGAGGGAATAGTAGTTGGAAAATATAGTCTTGGTGATAGAAAAAAAAAGTTGGAGATCCCATGATAGAACTTTGTAAGATCAATGGCTTTTTCTTCACAAATACTTTTTTCAATAACCCAAAAGACTACACAGGTGGACTCCTCCAGATCCGCAGAAATCAAACTGACCACATTTGTGGGAAGAGTCAATGAAGAAGCTCAATATCAGCAGCTACAAAGAGGCCAAAGGCTGGCTGTGGCTCAGACCATCAATTGCTCATATGTAAGTTCATATTGTAGCTGAAGAAATTAAAATAAGTCCATAAGCGACAAAATATGGCCTTGAGTATATCCCACACAAATCTGGAGGATACCTTGAGAACTTACTTGGTGCATTAAACTCTAAAGACAGAAGTCTTGATGTGCTGTGGGCTGCTACAAAGAGCATCATACATGAAGAAAGCAAAGCATCAGATGCTGAAACTTGCCCTTAATCACAGAGTAGCTAAGGCAAATAGAATAAATGATGATGTCAAAGAGCTAAATAGAAAATCTCAAAGCGCATCTCAAGAAGACAAAGTAAAAAAATAAAATAAAAAGAAGACAAAGTAAAATATTATAATGAAATAGGCAAAGACGTAGCATTATAAAACCAAAAAGGGAGAACACACATAGCTTATCTTTAGCTGAAAGAACTAAAGAAAAAAATTTGAGCCCCTTGCAGTATTGCAAGATTCTATAGACAAAATACTGAACGATACAGAAAGTATCAAAAGAAGATGGAAAGAACATACAGAGTCACCGTACTAAAAAGAACTCATTGATATTAAACCATTTCAAGAAGTAGCATATGAGCAAGAACCAAGAGAACTTTTTTTTTTTAATTTTAAAAATCATTTTATTAGGGCTTCTTACAGTTTTTTGGGGGGTTATCATATATTTATATATTTTTTTAAAAATCAATTTTTGGGGGTCAT